CTTGACAATTTAAAAAGTTCACTTTGAATTTGACTTGAAGAATATCTTGAACGCTGAGGAAAAAACATATTTACTCTAAAGACATACACTTGTGTTAGTTAGCGGATTTGTTTACGCTGCCTATGTTAACATGTTACTGGGGCTCCTGTTTAAAGTTCAGCAAATGGACACTAAACATGTCTTACAATCAGCATCTTACCTTGTGGTGAGAGTTCAATTCTCTGAATCTACTTGAGCCTCTAACTCTTTGTTTTAATTTGGGTTTTAGGTAGTGTTTGTGTGTATTGTTTACCAGCTTGGCCGGGTTTTTTTTTGTTTGTTTGTTTGTTTGTTTTGTGTCAAAAAAATCTGCAGTTGTGCAGGAGTTCATCACCGAAAGACCCGAAATGCTTTTGTTGAAGTGCAATGTGAAGGAAGAGGAACGTGTTTCAGTAAGAAGAGAGGGACGACATTATGAGAAGTTATGCCACGCGCGAGAAGCTGGAGCTTGAAATAACAAAGCAGACATTGTGAACTGAAACAATGTATGCTAAGTGAAGTTTGCTTTTGTTTTATTTTTTAAGAAAATTTGACTTTGTGAAAAGGGGATGCCTATGTTGTGCTTGTTGGTTGCACATTATTTCAAAAAAACAGAACACAGTTGGAATTAACCTATGCATCCAGAGTCTGATATTTTTATATACAGTAGGACCTGTATACATGTACAAATAATCTAATAAATAGGCACTGTTAAAATTGTGATTTTGTTCTGGAAACCTTTAACTGTTCTTTGATAAAGCATGGTAAATGAAACAATCTGTTTTCCTCATCCTTTATTTTAAATGGACTGTATTTTATGTTTTTCTTTTCTTGTTTTCCTTTTCATTCAGACAGAAGATTGACCATTTTTTATTTGAGTAATTCCCGACAACATAACTTCAGCAGCACTGCTGGAATTTTCAAAGTTACCTTGTTCAATCTGACAATAATCAAGCTCAGAATATTTTTTAATGTATCAACTATATAGATATTGATAATGATCTGTGTCAGATTTTCAAACAACTGAGAAACTTCAATTAATAGCTAAACATTTAAATATAGAGATTTGGAATATTTTGGTGCCAAAGTACTATTTGTATAGTGTATTTTTTTAATCCACAAAGTGTCAAATTTAATCACACCAGTTTAAAAGAAAGCAACAAATTAACATTTCTATTCATGTTTTGCACTATTATTCTGTTAGCACACCCATTGTGTTCAAGTCTCAACCAGCTGATTGTTGATTTCGTCTGAAATTGTAGAAATGACGCATTTATGAGATTTAGACCAGGTAGTTTACTTAATATTTTAAGTTCTTCTGTTTTATAGTAGGGTGATGCTTTGCATCAGAGGGTTCATTTTTGCTACAACAGAGTAATAATGCTAAACACACAACAATAACTGGGTTGGGAATAGACGCAGCAGGCTAATGTTAAGCTACAGTGCTCATAATTATTTTTGAAGACCTGAGCATTTTAGAAGAGTTTGTTGAATTGCAGGAATTGCACCACCTTCCAGCTGCAGGGTGCCCTGCATGTTCAGTCAGTCGTCACATGCATCTGCACAACAACCCACTGTTGTGTGACCCTGTAATGATCTTGCAGAACATGAGGCTTTGTTGTGTTCCCTGTCCGACTTAAAGAACACAAACAGCACCTACTTTACGGCCACATCGTCACTGCTGTATCTGTGAAATGAAGACATTGGTGTTCACGCGGTGACCAGATGTCCAGGTGATGCAATGTGCAGAGGACAAATATTACAAAATCTACACAGAGGGTCGCGAGTACTGCGCCTTCATACAAAGGACGACGCTACGCATGGCCAGTCTCCTGGCCTTGCTGTGTTTCTGTTGGATGTCTAGGCTTGCAGCCGTGCTGTGGCTGGATGTGTCCCTCTCCTTTGTTTTGAAATTAGACACTTTTATTAAGCTTAAAATGCACCTATAATAGACATCTAGACATCCAGCACAGGGAGTAGAAGCAGTGGATCTACATGGTCAGGCAGCATTAGTCGCAAATTCATTTCTCTGTCACTAAGCGTCATTCTCTAACAGATCAAAAAGTATATCCCAAAAATACTTTTGGGAACAAACAACAAATAAAATACATTATAGTTTGTGGTTTAAAAAAAAAAAAAAGTGAGAAATCCTCATTTCGCTCATTCCTCTTTACAAAACTGTACTAAACCCCGCATAGACTCAGCGTCTGAGCTACGATTGCTCACAGACACGGTGAAGGTCAAAGTCAAGGTCTAATTGCAGACAATACATGACTGAAGGCTGGTAGAGCGGCCCCCACGAGGGGTCCCGCATGTAGCTTGATTCAATATGCTACATGCCCTGTAGCCTCAGTGTTGACAATGCTGGGAATGCAGGGTCTTGAGGGGTGAAGGTTAAGGGTGGGGGGCCTAACGGGAGAGGTGGGGGGAACAAGTGGGTGAGTAGACAGTGAAAACACAGCTTGACTGTGTTTGCACATTTGCAACCAATTGAACTTGTATATTTGTGAGCAGTTCCACTTTCCTATAACGGAATCCCTGTCACTAATGCATATCAGCAGCTAGATAAACAGATTTTGGCCTCATGGCTGACGATCCCACATTTCCTTTAAATGTCCGGAGATGTCTCGTCTGTTTACATGTGAATTCCCTCACAGACAACAGAGACCAGACAGAGACCGCTGGGTTTGGCCTGAAGATCTCCGGGCCTCATTAGAAGCAGCAGGGGTCCGGCTTGGGAAGCATAATATCCATATCTCCGACCGCACCCTGCATGCACCACAATAACAAGTATTAAGGTTTAAAACATTACCATAGAGAGCCATCCATGGGAGAAATTCTCCATCCATTTACAAACTTCTGCTGTTCTTGCAGTTTTACCAGACACTTTGTCTGAGGTTTTAATTTTTTTTCTTTTTTTTTTTTTTTTGCACACTGGAAATGTTTTGAGCACAAACAATCACAGGTCTTTAAACTTAAAGCAATTTATGTCTAACTTTATCCACGCCTCTCCTAAACCTTCCGTCTTTCCGTCCGTTGTCTATCCCCGACCACAGGGACTCGCTGTCCTTCAAGACTCGAGCAGAATTCAAGTTTCAGTCACTCACAGCAAGTTTTACAGATGTATCAATCAACTTCCACAAAGTTCCTCTTTTGTCTTGACAGATCATTTTCCAAATGTCTTGTTGACTATTAAAACTAGTGTTGGAAATTACTTTCTAGACTGACATTTGTCAATAACCTAATTCCTCATCTCATTGTTTTTAGATTAATTCTTGATTCATACAGGCCCAGCAGTAATTAAACAGTTTTTGTCTAATTATGCTGTGTGATTCCAGGTTGGCTTGGATAACTTTTTTTTTTCAATGATATGCTTTTTGTATTTACTCAGATAATCCTGTCTGTCTGATGTAAAAACATTTCTAAATGGTCTGAAATATTTATGTTTGACAAAAAAAAACAAAAAAAAAAACAGCAGAAATCTGTAAGAGAGCAAATATCTTTTTTTTACAATATAGAAAAAAGATATTTTATATTACTTTCAAAATTGTTTGAAAGTAATATAAACAAATGAAACAATATTTGAAAGTAATTGCAAACTCATTTTTCTTTCTGTTTTAAACAAGCTGAAGCATTCACACCAGCTGTTTGTTTTGAAGCCTTTTCTTCCAGGAATTGCTTTTATTTGCAGCATGACTTCAAGCTGTCTGCACTACTTGTGACTTCTTGCATGTCAATATTGTGCTATCAGCAGATGGTGTCTATAGTACTCCATTGTTGACTGCAGTATTGCCTTCTCAGAGTTAAGATAGGACAACTATTAACAACATATTTTATTTTCAAGGAAATAAACTGCAGCTGGAGTGTAGCTGCAGTTTACCCTCCAGCTGTAAACTGCAGCTACACTCTAAATTAAAGTGTTTCTTCTTTCTGTTTGCATGTGCAAGTTTGTTACTCTGTATGAGAAGCTATTAGTGCCAAAAATCTTACCCTTGCTGTAAAAAAAAGTAATATGGAAATCACTGACAGCGTAAAAGCCGATTGAGCGCTGCTTTGTATGTCATGCAGCTGCTCAATAGACTCATGTTCATAAGGGCTGCAACAAACAAAATGTTGCAGCTCTTATGAACATGACAGAGCAAGATTTTTTTTTTTTTTTCAATTTTCCATCATGTGCAACTTGTTGTCATGATATATGATACTGTGGTCAAGTTTTTCACCACTTCTATAGAGTCCCTACTTATTCAAAGTAATTATTTCAAAATTTCTTCATTAGGCCGGTTGATACTGTAAGTAGTTTGACCCTAATTTCTTCCCATAAATACCATCTACTTGTACATGTCTGTACAAATGTGTGCTTAATGGTTTGTTGGTTTGATTGCTTTTTGAAGTCAGAGGTGAAAAATAGCATCACATAGAGTTTAGGGCGTTCAAATCAGAGAGATTATCCACTGTATCTGCTTGCAGTCGTGTTTAAAATTAAACTACGATTCTATAAAAATGCAGAAATCAATCAAAATCTTACAAAGTGGAGTGAATTTGGCGTCATCTACTGGAGATATCTTGCTTAGACGGCCAAACTAAATATGAAACTGCACAGCGTAAAGCATATAAAATAATCAGATGCTCTTGAGAGATTCCGCAGGGTACTTGTTTAAGTAATTCATTGAGCATGCAATTTAAAAAAAAAAAAATTAATGAGTCTATTGTTATGCAAGTGTGTCATTATAAAATAAATCTAAAATGAACCCATTTTCAATTTAATATATTCCAAATCTTTTTTTAAACTCATAAATTCTTAGTTTATGACTAGTTTCATGTAACATTTTGAGACCCTTAGAGTAAAAATAATCCTCCACCTTCCACCGACTTTGCCAGCTAAGGGTTAAGGCTGCCGCAGGTGTCTGGCCAGTTCTTCATGAAACAGCAAACTTTTTTTTTTTTTTTTTAATTAAGTTGATCATGACTGTAACGCAGCTGGGGGTTTGCTGTGCGAGCAGACAGGCCACTGTAATTCATGTAGCCATTAGCTTGAGGGGGGTTCGCACAGCCACCGTCAGCCTCAAACCGAACCCTTCCTGCAAAGCGTGGAGCGACAGCAGAACCTGAAAACTCTGCGGCTCGGGACCCAATCCGGGACGCTCGCTATACGATCCAATACATCTGAGTGGTTTTTGAGATTAATTAATGACATTTCTGGCAGCTTGAAGACTTTAATCAACGTTGCACTTTTGTTAAACTTCCAACATTTTTGATTCCCCCCCCCCTTCCCTCCCACCCCCGCCTCTATCGAGATGTGGTGGATGCTGTTTCCCCGATGGATTTGGTTTGTTCTTGGACATTCCTGGACTGTACTCCTGCATGCGAACTGCCGGGTGACAGCGATGCCTATGATGTCCGCGGCGAAGGTGGTGTACTCTCACGCAGGTCTGTGTCCCAATGACCTGAACCCCAACCTTTGGGTGGACGCGATGAGCACCTGCATGCGGGAGTGTGAGTCCGACCAGGTGAGCGCACACCTAACATGTTAGAGTAAAAATAATTGTGCTAAATAATCGGCATAATGAGAACGAGCTGGAAGTATTTTAAGATTATAGTAGAAAACCTGAATCACAAACTACGCTGCGCGCATCTCTTCCATATTCTGATAAAATAAACAATAAAACATTTCAAATTATTATTATTATTATTTTTTTTATCGTTTTAATTCAACCATGCTGTTATTAGATGCTAAATTACTGTGCGTCGTTTCCAAAATGAGCCCTGTTTCATTGTTAAAATAGTTAAAATAGAATTAAAGTAATGGACTGATGACCCCAGTTTCTGAAAACACTGATTTGGATTAATCAAACATGACAATGTGATAAATCTTATTTAATTTACACATATTTACAGCATCCTCCTCATTAATTGACGTCTCTAATTTGAGCACATTTATTGAGTGGGGGAAAAAAGTCCCTCTTCAAGACATTTTGTGCACCCTACTCTTCCACATAGCTAACCACATAACTTTCTTTTTCAGTTTATCTTTGTTTTTTTCTTTCTTTGTTTGCTTCCCTTCTTTCCTTCCTTCGAAAGAAAGAATTATTTAGCATAGCATTACACCACTGCAATAAGATAAATTATTTCAATGATTTTTCCCACATCGTTATCAGTGTCCAAACCCCATGTTTTCCTTCCCTAACCTCAGGACTGTGAGCCATTCGAGAAGTGCTGCCCTAACGTTTGCGGCAACAAGAGCTGTGTGGCGGCACGCTATATAGACGTCAAGGGCAACAAGGGCCCCATTGGCATGCCAAAGGGCGCCACCTGCGACAAGTTCATGTGCACCCAGCAAGGCTCCGAGTGCGACATCTGGGACGGCCAGCCTGTTTGTAAGTGCAGAGACCGCTGTGAGCGGGAGCCCCACTTCACGTGTGCGTCTGACGGCATGACTTATTATAACAAGTGCTACATGGACGCAGAGGCCTGCTCCAAGGGTGTCTCAATCACTGAGGTCACCTGCAGGTAACATGTTAAGTATTTTAGACATTTATTTGCCTGATTCGTGAGGTAAACGTCTTTTGCTTCTGCCATCGAAGTCTAAGTAATTTTATTTCTTGACTTTTTACAGTGTCTCGCAAAAACCTTTCTTACCACTTTTAACTTCTTCACATTTTGTCGCATTAAAAAAAAAAAAAAAAAAAAAAAAAGTTGTATTTTGGGATGTTATGTGACAGAACAACAAAAAGGGTATAATAGTAGTTTTCAAAAAGTTTGCAAATAAAACATGTGAAAAGTGTGGAAGGATTGTGTTGCACCAAAATAAAATCTGGTTAACCAACATAAATCACGGAATGCATTAATAAAGCCCAGCTGTGTGTAATTTACTCTGATTGTAATTCAGCTGTTTTGTGAAAGCCTGGAAGGCATGTGGGGAAAATTACATCACAACAAAGTCATGCAACAACACAGTGGCTTCAGTCAGAGGCTTCCTCAGGTGTCCTGCAACACATACCTCTACAGGAAATCCCTCCTGCCAACAACAATGACCATGAGCATGTGACCCTTAGAAAATATCTAATTTCCTTTGATGAAGAGCTAAATTTGAGTTAACTAATTTTGAAATTTATAATAAAGAAACAATACAGAACTGTGATAATAGAAACAGCAGCATTTATTGTCCCGCAAAGGGGAGCTTCAGATAAATATTGGTAGAACATTAATGTGGGATTAGTTTATGAAACACCGACACAAGATTTGAACATCTCATGTCATGTCATATAGCTCCAGATCCAAAAAACTGACTGCCACAAAACACAAAGATCAAGATTTTTGCTAGGCACTGTAGAAGTAGTGCATATATTCCTTGCCATTTATCACTGACTCACTATCTCATTTTATCTACCTACAGGTATCACCTGTCCTGGCCAAACACAAGTCCAATCCCCGTGGAGACCACATTACATCCCACTACCGCCCTTCAGACCACCATCCCAACTGACATTCAGCTTCCTGCCATACACAACTCACCCATCAAACAGATTGTGTTTGTGGGTGAGACGGCCAGCTTCTTGTGCGAGGCGTCAGGGAAGCCACAGCCAGAAATCACCTGGGAGAAACAACTGAAAGGCAAGGATAATGTGATAATGAGACCCAATCACGTACAAGGTAACGTTGTGGTGACCAACATTGGCCAGCTGGTCATCTACAACACCCAACTTCAAGATGCCGGAATCTACACATGCACAGCGAGAAACGTCGGGGGAAGCGTGTCGTCACACTTCCCCCTGGCCGTGATCAAGAAAGAACCGAGAGGCAAAAGTGCGGAGGGGAACAACACCAACCTCCCGTTCCCAGCAGCCGAATGCCTCAAGAGTCCCGACACAGACGACTGTGGAGAGGAAAGCATCAGCTGGTACTACGAGCCAAAGAGGAACAACTGCTTCACCTTTACCTACAGCCAGTGCAATAAAAACCTAAACCACTTTGACACCTATGAAGCGTGCATGCTGTCTTGTGGGGGGGAGCTGGCGGCCCCCTGCAGCCTACCAAGCCTACAGGGTCCTTGCAAGGCATATGAGCCTCGCTGGGCGTACAGCAGCACCCTGAAAAAGTGCCAGTCCTTTGTTTATGGAGGCTGTGGCGGCAACGAGAACAACTTTGAATCTAAAGAGGCCTGCGAAGAGATGTGTCCCTTTCCGAAGAACCACAACTGCAAAGTGTGCAAGCCTCGAGGCAAAATGGTCTCCAGCTTCTGCAAGAGTGACTTTGTGATCCTTGGGCGCATGACCGAGCTGACAGAAGAGCAAGAGTCAGGGCATGCATTGGTGACCGTGGAGGAGATCTTGAAGGATGAGAAGATGGGTCTAAGGTTCTTTGGCAAGGAACCTCTGGAAGTCACCCTTCTGAACATCGACTGGAACTGCCCCTGCCCTAACATCACCATATCCGACGGACAGCTGATCATTATGGGGGACGTGCACAACGGGATGGCCGTCCTGCAGCCCGACAGTTTTGTTGGCTCCTCCAGCACTCGCAGAATCCGAAAGCTGCGCGAGGTTGTCCAGAAGAAAACCTGCGATTTCCTCAAAGATTTCTCTTCAACCTAATATCATGCCAGCAATACAGCTCCTTTGTGTTTGTTTTCAGATTGCTTTAAACTCCTGTGACCTCAACAGTCTGTCTGACAGCCAGTTTTTTTTTATTTTCCCGCCTTGTTCCTACTCTTCTCAAAAGATCTTAGAAAACTGTTTTCAAAATGTATTTACTCTGAGAAAAATATTTAATATTTTACCCTAACAAATCATATATTTTATGCACTAACATTATTCAGTTAGTACTATTTTCATACAATTATTATATGCCTTTTGTTTTGATGGGTGTTTTGTACTGTTCGTACTGTGTGTCAGCTGTCTTTAGCTCTTAAAGGGATAGCTTGGGTGCTCAGGAGATTTTAAGAGGAGTGATGATCTTACCTGCTGTAGATAAATACGGTTTGAGAATTAATTATATAATATTTTTACAAATTGCTAGCAAATTTGTGAGACTAGAATTTCATTCAATATGAGGGAGTTCAGAAAGGCAAGATAATTACTGCTCCTAACTTCTTCACCAAATGGACTAAATATTAACTTAAAGGGAATGTCAAGTAGTTTTGAAGTGAGGTCTTGATAAAAAAAAAAGAAAAAGTCATAAGTAATTAATATCTTATATTCAGTAGATCGCTCAATATATGCCTTCACTTGGTAGAAAACTTGATTAGTTAAGCCTGAAGGCTAAAGCTAATGCTAGTCTGAGAAAGGCTAACACCAACCTGGACTTCTACTGCCTTAAAGCAATTCTGATGTAAAATTATAGAAGAATCGCTGCAGTTTATGTAAGCACTACTTAGTTAACCTTTAATTCATATCCACATTTGTATTGGTCAGAAACCCTTACCTTCATTCTGCCTAGTTAGCCTCAGAGGCCGAATACATCAGCTCATTCAAAAGCATTGTTGCCGTTTATGCTACTCTATAACACGAGTAGTTAAATTATGGAATAGTGTAGCAGTATAAAGTTGAATAGAAATAGCTCTCATTTAAACTGTCTATTACGTACCTGATAGTGACTTAAAGGTACAGCAGTCACTGTAAGCACGCGCTCCTTTTTATTGAGTCTGTGACCTGAGTTGTTTTACGCTGGTAGAAGTCCATGTTTTTTGGGGGCCCATTTGGGACTAAATATCATTTGCTCAGCCTCTGGAGTCAACTAATCCGGAGCTTACACAAACTGAAGATGTCAGAGGAGCTTATAATGCAGATAAATTGTTTACTTTTTATAACTGCTTAACAGAACCTCGCATTAAAATTCCTTAGCTACCCCTTTGAGATCACAATAATGCAATACAAAGCCTCAGTTTGTCTGCCAGAAACAAATAAGCTCTTGGGTTCCATTTTTTTGTGGAATCACTGTGTTTCATTTACAACACTGAATATGTTTATGGACTTGTTTATGTCATATTTATTTTTCTTTATCTCTATCTTAGGACCTTGTTAAATGGATATATGCAGTACAGATGAATATGAATCTAATTACTTACAGAGCATTTTTTTTTGTCCTTTATAGCCAATATTAGTAAATAAATAAAGATGATTTCTGAATTTACTTTGTGCTCTTCATTTTTTGTAGCGTCAGTCCTCAGCTGAAGGGAATTCAAGCAGTTTGCCGATTTGCCTTAGCGCTCTTTTAAGACATACTTCCATCCATGTCCTCCTCCTTTGCTCTTGTGTGTAACACTCACACACTCGGGCTCTTGTCTGGCATTAAAGTCTGAAGCAGGTCACATTCCAGCCCAGCTGCGGTGGCCTGCCGAGCTGTGTGTGTTGTGTTGTGTCTGGGTTTGGGGCCCTCGCATAGCACACACCCCGCCGGCCGTCCATTCGCGTTGCGCGGCCTCTTTCATGTGCAAGAGGCCGGGGTGAAGGGGATAGGGAGGAGGAGAGGGACGCTGGCTGATTCTTTTCCTTTCATTCACTTCTGCCGGTCACATCTGTGTTTGGAAGACATAATAGAAAACACAGAGCAGAAAGGAAGGGGAGAAAAACATTAGGCGGTATGAGAGGTTATCGGTATACGTTTCTACACTTTCATGGCAAGATCTTTACGAAATCCTGGTGCCTCTGGAGCTTGTGATGCAATGTGCGCTGAAGCTCATTAAAAATCTGTCTCAAGGACCAGCTGAGCATACATTAAGCGGGTGCTAACTAATGCGTGTTGCCTCCCTTCCCCCTCTGAGCTTTATGTCTCCTGTTCTTGTGCCTGCTTCCTCAACCGTTTGCCTCCTCGGATCGGACAGACGACCAGCCTCGGGAGATGAACTCTGGCCTTGCTAATGAAAAAGGGGCCGCGGAGGAAAAAGGTCACTTTCATTAGAACTGTTGACAAGTGTTAAGTAACTGGCTGCCCTCCAGACTGAACTCCACGGAGCCTCCTTGATGTTCTACGAATCACAGCCGGCTGCTGATTTCAGTATCACGTTCACTTGGAGACCACCAACTAGGCAACCTGCCAGACAGACTAGAATAATAGACCAGAAAGTCGCAGCTACACACAGGGAGCAGAAGCAGGGAAAAAAGAACTTGGTATTCAGAAAAGATATTTACTTTCCTTTGAGATACATCTGTTTTTCACATCCCAGTAACTCAGATCTAAGGATGCCACCTGTAAGGTCCATTCGAAACTGTTCTAGGCATCACTTATGCATCAGAAAAATATAATACAAGGCAATTATTATTGCGTATTATTTTCACTAAGGATGCTCTGTCAGCTTTGTTGATGGTCAGCTAAGTTTGTTCTTTTTAATTTAAGCTGAATGAGTCATACATAACAAGGAAAAAAGAAATAATCTGCATTTTGCTTATACTGACACCCTCAAGGCTAGACGTTTACACGCATTTCCTTAATATTTGGAAGAAAGTCATTTAAGCTGTGTGATGACTTGGTTCAAATATTTTGAGGGCAACTTCTAGAATCTTCTTCCAATAATTTTCTGGGCTTTAGGTTCATTCCTTCAGACTGAATTTGTGTAACTGCCTTGCTGGAAAACACTTTTTTCTCACACAAACGTACTGTAGGATTGGGATCAGGGCTTTGTGGTTGAGACTTTAACTAAAAACCAAAACCTATTTAATGCAACCGATAATGGCATCCACAAGATGGCAGTACTTCACAATGAAAGTAGACTGTTTTGCGACAGAGTAAAAAAAAAAAAAAGAGGAATCTTTTCTTGTTGATTGCAGAGTGGGAGTCGGTTGCTTTTCACAAACTATGATTACCACAGAAAAATGATCCGTAGTAGATATTTTAAATCGTGCACTATCTAAGCTTTGAAGCTCATTTTCTTATGATTTCCTGACTTCCTGTCAACCACTTCCAAAATCTCTCTACTCAGAGAAAGAGTCACACGCCACTTGAATGAGTCTAATAGCTGTCAGCCAGATGGTCTGATAGATTGTGGTTGGTGGAATGGATGAAGAAATCTATTACTGGATGCAGTCCCTGCACAAAATAATAGGCACAATAACACACACACACACACACACACCCACACACACAGAGCTCTGTACAGCACAGCTGGTCTGTATTCAGGCAACAAAAATTGCCAGATGGAATGAAACAGAGAAAAGGACACGAATATGAACAGCTATACATGTTTGTGCTAAATTTAAAATATCAGCACTTCACATTTAAGTCATTTTGAATGTGTCACCATCCAGTGTATTGCGTGAGTGATGAGCTGGATGTGTTTTTACATGCTGGAGCCCTTTGTGCTCTTGCTTGGCTGTACAAACAATCACAATAAGAAACTCATGTGAAGTGTATGTTGTTGTTTTAGTACCTGGAACAGGAGTTTCACGTGCAGCAGTGTCAAGTGGGAATGTTAAAAAAACCCTCAAAAAAGCAACCAATTAAAATTAAATAAAACAAATAAATAGGTAGGACATGCTGCATAAATGTTGCTAGAGGACATGGACAAAGTCTAAGCTTTTAAGGACTTTACAGTCCTTGGTCATGCAGTTTACCTTGAATATACAAGGTCATGTTTTCCTCCTAAATCGTTCGAATAACAATGTGCTTCTAGTCCTTGTTGGGCTTCATCTTAGTGTTTTCTTTAAATTTGGGTCTGCAGCTGTGAAACAGAACACAGTGACCTTCGTCAAGTAGTTTTTGAAACTGTTTTATTTTCTCAGTTTGTGACACATCTCATGACCATCTCATGTAAATGTGAAAATGTGGGATGAGTCAAGAATTTGTAAAAGAGCAACAAAAAAAAAGGCTTACGTTTTATCCCTGCATTATTAACTGGAGAGGAATTAATTAATCTTCAAGTCCTCTTAGCAACATCTCACATCAAAACAGAGTAAATATGCTAGTTGTTTTTAAAAGGATTTTATTTATATACCTAGACTTTTCAGTTTGTTGTTAGTTGTATGTCTTTTTAACAAACTTCTTTTTTTTCTTCTGAGTTATGTTAATTTATTTCTAAGTCCTGCACCATTGGGCAAATGTATTCTGTTTCTGCTTTTCATACAGACCTGAACAGCACAAGTGTCTGACCCTCCAGTGTTTTTCCATTCTGTCCAATCCTTATTTTCATTTTATTTAGTGCTCATTTCTCCTGGTGCCAAATTTAGCTCCTCTCCTGCTCTGTTCTGTTGCACTCCTGAGAGTTTTACATTATCTGGCAGCACCCAATGCTTCCGTTGGCTGGCAAAAATATAAAGTGAGTGAAACATGAAATAAGGGGTTCATTTAGTATTTTAATATCACATATATACACACATAACTGTCTTTTCTTTTCATTGACCAAATGAAATAAATGAATCTTCTCTTTGTGCCCTTAGATCCTACATCAAACTGAATGCCAACGCTTCTATAAAGGACGTAATTGGCCCATTTTTTATTGGGCGAAGGCTTTCCTTCTGTACTGTTTGTCCTCACAAGGTCTCTGCTGACACCTGAGAAGAGAAGAATGGAGGAAAGGGCAACCAGAAAAGATAAAAAAAAAGCTGAAAGTAGTATGCAAGGACACATGAAGCAGAAAAAAAAAATCAAGATGAATGTTATTACTGGGATAAGATGGAAGCACAGAGGTCACAGTAACTTAGGGAATGTGATAGGATCTTAAAAGCTTTCCTCGTGGGGATTCTTTCCCCCTTATCTTTTTTTTTTTGCTTTGACTATAAATAGCACACCTGCTGGTTGTGAGAATAAACTTGGAAACGGATGCTATCTCTTTTCTCCCTCTCAGATGAATAGATAAATGCTGATGATAAGAAAACACAGTTAATCTTACGGAAATATCTCTTGCTCCACTTTTCTGTCTATGATTTGGAAGTAGCCTATAATGGATCACAGGCTACGAAAAACCAACTTTGTGGTTTTGGTAGAAATACAGAAACCAAACAAAAGAAAAAAAAAATCTTAAAGCAAACGAAACATATCGATGAATCTTGCTACGACTCGATGAGATTACACATCAAATGTGACTATTCTTGCTAGGTCCCCAGATGTAAAGTTTTGTTTTTCCGTTGCTGCAGGGGGGAGACTGTCTCTTTAATGAGATGTCACACCACCAGTCCAGTCTTTATACACGTCATGTGCCGATGCACACACAAACACACGCATTCCTTTAGGCTTCACATTGCACAGTTCAGCAGCATAAACACACATTTACGCTGCAGACACACAACAAATATCACTGTCTTCCTCCGGCGTGAGCAATAACCAGAGAGAGAGAGAGAGAGGGAGCAGCAGACAGAGAGACTCTGGTAGGAGTGGCTTGAAAAGAACGGAAAAGGGGGCAGAGATAAAGGGATGCTCGGGACAAAATGTTCTAATCTCAAGCTCTACTCGCAAAGAGTTGCTCACGGTTTCCACATTGTTTCTTTTTTTAGGAGACAAGGAGTGCTGTCCCGGTGTGACCCAGCTGGATGGCAGCAGAGCTCAGCTGCTATCAGGGAATGAAAACAAGGAGTGTCAGTCCTCATGTGACTGATTACATGTGAAGGGAAAGAAAATCTCTGTGTGACGTGGAAAGACACCCGAAGCTTTAAGTTACACTTCGACTTGCTGCTTGAAGTGAATTGTACGATTTAATCAAACCAAGAACAAAAGACGGCGGAAGATGGCCACTGCACATCAAGTGTTTGACAAATTCACTAAAACTTTAGAAAGTAATGTTACTAGTAATTTATGGCATTTAGTATTTACCGATAATTACTGCAGTTGTGTCACTAGTAAATGATTACCTAACGGCACCTTGCGATAGTGTTCACACTCTTGGACCCTTTTCAAAAGTCATTTCGGGAATAGTTAGTTAAATATATATTTATGATTTGATCTAATACAATGCAACTGTCTGATGGAGGCTTAGCCTCTTAGTATAAGGCTCCATTACAGTCTCTGGTCTTTTGCAGCTTTTTACAGATTTTCTGTCCCGGTTTGCCCAATTTAAAGCTTAATCCGCCTTCCGGGTCTCAGTTTAAAAGAAAGCACCCAAGCTGAATAATGCTGCCACCGCCGTGCTTCACCATAAAGATGGTGTGTTCAAGGTGCTAGCCTTCTGTCATGCAAAACCTTCTGCGTGTGTGTCCCGAATGCACATCACATGTTGGAGCAACATTGGTTTTGAAAACTTTCTGCTGTATCAGATACTTCCCAATAAATCATTAAAAAAATAACTTAAAATATTCACAGCCTGTAATAATTAGTTTTGTCTGTCAAGACAGTAAACAGACCTCACTGTGGATGATGAAGACTTCTGCAAGCATTTCTCCTTTTGCTTTTCAGACTCTTGTCTCTGTGAGGCTGAAGGGGAGCCTGTGGATGAGCGTCTCTTTGAGGGTTGTTAGGCTCTGCAGACACTGGGGGGAGTGCCAGGCTGCTGTCTTTTAACGAGTTCAAGTCAGACATCCAGACTGGAAAGGGCTTTATTCTTTGCTTTGAATTGTTCCTTCAAGGTTGATTTTGCGGTCAGGCAATTTTAATCTGAAAAAAAAAAAAAAAAAAAAAGATGTCTGCCTGACTAGTAAGATTGTTGATCAAAGAAGGCATTTAGAAACCGTTGTTCTCACTTTTTTGTAAGAAAGAAAAAAACAAACATTTGTTGTTAATTGATACTCATTCTAGAATTTGCTTTTCTCAGAAGTGAGGTGTTCAGTTCAACACTTTGCATAACTGCTGACATCTCATAATCAGGTTTTTGTGAAGGGAACTCACTTCATAGCAAGCGCTTGTTTGCACATCAAACACGGAAAAACAACCTCCATTCGACGGCAAATGTGCAGATTTCTGTTTTTGGTCAGTGTGAACACAAAACAAAAGCAACCAACTTCATGCTGGTGCAATCTGGACTAAATTCTTGGAATCTCTCTTCACAACAAACCCAAACATGTGACCTGTCGGTCATCTAGCTAGCTCTTTTGCCAATAAGGGCTCACACCTATTCTAAGTGTCTCCAGGATGCAAAAGTGTTTTGATTCAGGTGCAAAAATCAGGCAGCTTCCAGCGACTTCAGCTTTAAACTTGGGATTAACCTCAGATACTCCATGAGTCCTGATGATATAATGTTGTTGGTAGTTATTGGAGAACAGAGACCAGGCGATCTGCTTCAGGAAAAGTCTGTTGACTGCGATGATATCAGTAGCAGGATAGTAAACGTGGTAAGTGTGGGGCTGCTATTCTGTAAACCTCCGGACCTGAAACCAAGTACAGTGGATTGTGTCATGATTTGACTGTCTTCTATGACAGTTTCATAAGAGTGAAAATGAAGAATAAGATAAATATATGTCTTTTTTTATTTTCAGCAGCGAAAACACACAAAATGAACGTTCTAATTGCATTGTAGTCGAGATTTGGCAGCAATAGAGTTTGAGAGCTACATCGTGGGGTGTTGGCACATGGCCTGCTCTTACAAAAGAAAGAATGCATGTGTGAACATATTCATTGCCTCGCCTTTTTCTTAAAAAAAAAGTCTGTTGTGTTTTTATTAACGCATGCTTCCATTCCAGCCATCTTGCACCTGTGCTTGATCACTACCCTTCTCAGCGGCTTGTAGCTAATGTGGTGCCCTCGCGTAATTAGTCGGTCACTTATACCCTGGCTCAACGTCGGGTGCCACTCAGGCTTGTAAGATGCAGATGTCAAATATTTTCCTCAGAAAGTCATGCAGTAAAAGACCGCATTACGAACACGCGCAGTCACTTCGACTGCACTTCGGCGACGGTTTATCATCAGATCGCGTCCTCGGTTTTGACGTTGCGCAGTTGTGCAAAGTTATCTGTAATAAATATTTCAAACGCTCGGAGTCTGACCTTATTTCCAGAGCCCTTACGTAAGTGTTCGCCACTTGAAATGGAAGGAAAGCGCCTGGGCTTGTCAGAGGCAGAGTGCAAGATAGAAGTTGCTGCTGAACTATTTTTGGATTGCAGTCAGGTTTCTTTCCCCCAGGGTTTGTGCCTCAGTACCATGAGAGTTAGGGAATATCAATCAATGCTTTTATTGTTTGTTATGGAATCACTCCCCTTCCCTTCCCCCCAACTGTTTGATTGGCAGGGACACTATCAGCCTGTCTCCCTCTGCTGTATTACAATGCGAGCTGAAAAACATTTCCCAGAGAAAGAGAGCAAAGGACTTGTTTGAACTTAAACGCTGCTGTGTGGCAGGGTAAACTGGGACACATGCTTGAAGTCGCGCTCCTCTTTTAACCAGGGATTACTAATCGACAGGTAAAACAGAGGGATAAATTACATTTTCCACGGCTGTCCACAGACACACACACACACACGTGTGTTTTCGTGAACGTATCTGAGTCTGCGACGAAGTAAATGCGTTTAATCCGACTACGGGCAAAAATCCTCACGTGCAGCTCACATCTAATCAAGGCCTCTGTGTTTGTGTGTGAGTGAACTGTATTAATGGGTTTGTCAGATCCCACGACCTCGTGCTTAATGCTGAGCGGCTTAGGCGGAAAGTCTGTGTAGGTATCACATGACACTTGACCTCCGACCTGTGCCGTGTCCTGCACTAATTAGGGAAAGAAAGGCATGGCAGAGAGAAAAAAGGGACAGAGTAAGTTGTGACAAACAGAACAAGGCCGCACTGGCAGCTGAGGCTCATCTGTCGAGATCGAATAAAACGCCAGTTTAAAGTGCTTTTGTTGACACTTTTCCACAATCAACAACAAATGAGTAAAACTCTACTGTCAGTATTTTAGCCCTCTTTTCTCGGATTGCAGTCTCTACTGTGGAGTTTTCATGTATTTCAACAGGAGCTAGTAAAGAATAAACCGTCACTCTGCACTAATCTTGGATTCTTTCAGGTGTATGTTTCAGCTTATCGTCCTGTTGGTGACCCACGACCCACGACCCACAAATGAGCCTGAACTTTCACGAGTCCAAATGCTTCACTCCAGAAAGCCTTGGTAGTGTGCAGACAAACAGCGTTGAAGGCTGCCTTTCAAACTCTTTTTTGTGGAAAGTCGACTCTGTAATTTGAATGCTCATGAAAAATGAGCATTGAAAAGTTTTTACTTGCCGCTGCAATCCTTTGTCTTTAAAGTTTTTTTTTTCTGCATAACTTTGCAAATGAATATTTGGCAGCAGTCACATCATAGACAGTTGAAACCAGATATTTACATATGGTGAATGAAAAAAAAAATAAACAAGCATTTTTTTTTCCCACCATGCGAAGTTAAATCAGACTAAACTTCTCTTGTTTTAGCTCAGCTATGATTACCAAATTTATTTCTATTTGCTAAATGCCAGAAAACTCAAAGTTTCAAATTTTGGAATTTGAAACTTACTGACATGTAAATTCCAAAATTTACATGTCAGTATGAGGGATAATTGTAATTTGAACTGTATGACCTGGGTCAAACCTTCTGGTTTTGGGTTTGAGCGCACCCGTGGACGTCTTTTAAATGCCACACCTGGAACACACTGCTTTCCTAAGCACAAGAAATCAGCCAAGATAGCAAGAAGTGAACAGTAAAGCTGTTTAAGTCTGGCTCATCCTTGAGAGCAACATCCAGATGCTTGAAGGAGCCGCATTCATCTGTTCAAACGATATGCAGGTACAGACATGATGGGAATGTCCAATTATCAAAGCAAATGTATAAATAATGTAGCTGAGAACAGCCACAGCATAACATGGCTGCTATGTTTATTTATTACTTCATTCGATGTGTTTTCCCAACAACTCGACTGTTTTTCATGTGTTATGTGAGAAACGAACGGTTCTTGTGTTACACCAGGTTTCATCATGCACTATAAATATCATGGAGCACTGACTTTTCAGCTCAAATCAGCTGTCAGCGTGACTTTTCTTCTTTCTATACAGAAAACACCCAATTGGTTTCCTTATTGTTTTAGAAAAAATAACCCCTAGCTATACCATGAGAAAGTTCATTTTGCAAAACCACTTGGGTATATATTTAAAGAAAAACAAAGCTTTTTATCTCAAAATATAGACATAGTTAAACACAAAAGTAAAAAAAACAAACCCTAAACTTCAACACATCAGGTCATGAAATAATAATATGTACAAAATAGTTACATAAATAATTACAAAGCACTTAGGAATGTTAAAGTCTGAAACAGATTGCATCAAACCTTGATGTGTGCAGTTGCAAGACAATTTAATTCTGTCCTCTGTGGTCCATGAACCATTCTCTCACACGGTGCAATTTGGATCTAATATCTGTTATAATGTCTGTTCAGAGCCCATGTCATCTTCCTGAGCAGCCATTCGTTTTCACCTCCAGCTACAGTCGACTTTGACGGGCAAAATTGATGTCATTCATTCACCTGGGCGAGCATTTCAAGGGAAGAAAGCAGTGAGAAAAAACAAACAGGACTGAATGTATTGACTTTTTTTTTTTCCCCTGGTTGTGTTTTCCATTAGTGTTTGGCTGTGTGGGAATATACAGAGATGAGATGAGCAGAGATGCTGTGTGTTTGTTTGTTTTTTTGTTTATCACTGCAGCTCTTTGTTGTACAACACTGCACTGCATTAACTCTCTACCTCGAAGCCTTCATCCTGAAATGTAATCGTTTATTGTACCAACTTACGCTTTGCTCTCGAAAGACAAAACAAAACAAAAAAAATGCAAATGAAAAAAAAAATACTGATTTTCCTTATGCCATGCATAAGCATGGCAGGATTCACACAGTAATACATAGCTGTGTAAATTACATGTCTGATCAGATCATTTAATTATGTTGAAGGAGAGAGGGAGGGAGGAAGGAGTAGAGTATCTTTAACATTATCAAGCTTTTCCTGTCCATAGCAAAAATAAAACTTTCTGGATACTTTATGTGTCACCGTAATTCTTCACTTGGTAATAATGAGCATGTTTTTTTTTTTTTTTTTTTTTTTTCATAAAAGTTGCATAGTGACAGGTGCAGTAGGTATTAATGGGCTGATGAGTCAGTATGTCTGTCAACCTGCTCCTAAATATAAAAGTGAGGCAGGCGGTTGTAAAGCCCTTCTCATTGCATCGCATTCGTTTAGCACTCGTTACATAAGAGAGAAAACACGAAGCACATGCGGCTCAGGATTTGCATGCGTACGGGAAAAGCAAATGCACACACGATGAGCTAATGGAGCTAACAGCTCCTGCCATCGCTCTTTCACAGTTAAGGTCTAATTAACGAGAATATTTATGTGTTTTTATTTACTCTAATCACGGAAGGCTACAAGATAAATTTTCTTTGAGAGAACCTTGAAGAACTCTGCTGAACAAAAGTTAAGATCAGCCCCAATTTGTTAATGAACCACCAGTTTAGCCTTTAAACTGAATGTTTTCTACCCACTCTCAAAGAAAAGTAAGTAATCCAGCCAAATACCCGTACTATTTGTAGCGTGATATTCTCTCGTTGAGCTCTGCCCCTAGGGTAGAAATACCAACATGATCTCAGATGAGAGAGCTTTTCCTGGAAAGCATCATTCACTTTATTCGTCATATTCATCATCCGAGCAAAATTTAGGCCAAACAGGGATGCCTAAGCGACTGAAAGTCTACTCTGATGTTCGCCACAACCTTCCTTAGAGTAGAGCAGAGGACAACTATGGTGTCATCTGCATAACAGTGCATTTTTGCCTAAGGCTTTAGATGTGTTCCTCCTCTGGTCTCACTAATGGGAATGCAAAAATAAAATTGTACCTAGATTGAGCCTTGTGGGATTCATTTTAAACCTTTCAAAAAGTACAACACATTGTTTTCTCGGAAACATTTTCCAGGCCTGTGTTCCTGAGTGCACTTAATTTCTCCATATTTATACGGTTTTCATACATGGACTCGTGTAGCAACATAACAACAATGACTCTGGCATAAATCAGCTGGATAGGTTCAACCTCCAACTCCTAAGAGACGACACAGTGACACTTCAAATCTTTTTAGGCTTAAAAAGATTTGAAGTGTCACTGTGTGGGTTGACCAAGTGTCACCTGGTCAACCCACCGGTGGGTTGACCAGGCACTTGTGTTTGAGCTCTGCAGGTAAACAACATGAATCACAGACTTTTTTTTTTTCTAACTTCACTGTAAGAAAAGGCTTTAATGTTTCCAAAACAATCCCCCCATATGAGTTTAGCACAAAAACTTATGGGTTTACAGCTATTTAACAGATTTAGCAAATAAGAGAATTGGAAAACTTTTTTTTTTTTTTTCCCCTGGAAGATCTCAGTTCATAGAAATGGAAAAAGCGATGGTAAATATTAATTTAGCGTAAATATTTTAATATATTATGTATTATCCAAAAAGAGAAAAGGCAGACACGGTGTTTTCAGGTGTGCTGCTCGTTCGGGGTGTGAAGCGAAACTCTTTCCTGCTAATCAACAGAAGCTGCTGTTGCCTTTTCGCTTTCCCTCCCCTCCACTCCGTCTCGGATTCATTGTAATGCAGCACAGAACCCTCCACACATGGACTTGACAAAGACCGCTTGTACTCCAGTAGACCTTGGGCTGGGAGCC